AAACCCAGAAAATATGGGAAAATGTGGGGCATCTTTTTATTTGTGTGTATTTATTTGTGTGTCCCAGGGCCCCTTCAGAGAAGTGGAGGAGGGCGAATAAGCCCACACTTCTCCGCCCTTTGTGCCCGCCGTGGCCGTGAGCCCTCGCAGTGTCCAGATCGCCGCCCTCCTCTCGCGGCAGCCCTTGATGGTCTCGTCGGCCTCCTTCGCGTCGGCCGCTGCCGCTCCGATCTCCCTGTTGGTGACCCCCGCGCCGTTCAAGCTCGCGCATGGCGCGGCCGCGGTGGACTGCCTCGTCGAGGCCATCGCCCCTGGACGGCCCCGGGCGAAGCAGAAGGTGCACCCTGCCCGAGCCGGTGCGGCTGCGCGGCGAGGGGGGGATGGCATCTTCTTCGATGGGATGGCGACGAGCACCGGGGAGGATGATGCCACGACAGTGAGTCACCACCCACCAAGCCACCCCAACCCAACCCGAAGGCTCAGATTTACCCTCGTTTTCCAGTGGGGGGGGGGATCGGGAAACATCGACAAAAACACATGTGGAACCCTTACCCCCCCCAACCCGAAATTCGGGTCTTCGGGTTGGGTTGGGGGTGAGATGAGGATGCTCCTGGCATGATGCTGATACAGTCGGGGCGCTGAAGAAGGATCCCTTTTCGTCGGGGAGGGGCTCGGTGCTCCTTGATTGTTCCGAAGTTCGCCTTCGGTGTTCCGTAGGTCTCCGATGGAACATCGAAGGTTAATTTATGGATGAAAGGGGCCTCGTTCCTGATTCAGGGTTCCTTAGGTCAACGACCCGACTGTATTGCGATGGGACGATGATGGGGTGAGATAACAGTGGGATATGGGCGAGTTGATGATGAGATGGGGATGGTGTAAGGATGGGGCTGTACGGACGAACTAGGGATGATAATGACGATGGAGACCCCGTGCTCGTGGATGATGGATATGTCTTCTTTCTATTTGGCTGCTGGGCCCTATGCAGGAACCCGTCCTGCAGTTCAGCTCCCTGGTGTGTCTCCTGAGGCTCCTCAGGCCGTGTCGGACCCTATCTCCGAGTCGATCCACTTTTTCACGCCGTACCTTGTCTTCAAGGTGTTGTCGCTGATCTGTCCCATGGCGCGCACGACGAGCTCCTTGAGCGCGCCAGTGCTCCGTGCCGAAGATGTACGTACGTCTTGTTGCCGTCGAGAGAGTCGGCCTCGCCACGCCTCTTTGCCTCAGGCTCCCTCATGACCACGCTTGCGGGCAAGGTGACTCCATTGGTCTTCTTCGCGCGCTCAGTGTTCTCCACGCCCGTCGGGCGTTGCGTGCCCATCATCATCAGCATCTTGCCTCTGTCCTTGCTCACGCCAGGGTCACTCTTCGGCTTGGTCTTTGCCTTGTTGTTGCCCTTGCCCGTGGTGGTCTCTGTCTTGCTCTTGCTCTTGTCCTTGCCCTTGCCCCGCCCGTCGCTCCCTTCCCTCCTCAAGCAGATGGACAACAAAAATTGAACCCTTGACTCTGCTCACTCCCCTCCCCCCACATTCAAAGTTGCTCCCCGACATTCAAGAGCGCAGGCTTGAACGGACAAAACAAGCACAACCCCTGGGGCCTCCACCACGCCAGAGCCCAACTATGAGTCGGGGGGCAGGGGGAGGGGACGAACATGGTATCGACGACGAGGGGGTTCCACTGTTGTGTCCCCTTACCGGATGAGGAGGACGAGGAGGAGGAGGACGAGGAGGAGGAGGCGGAGGAGGAGGAAGAGGCGGAGGAGGAGGAGGAGGAGGAGGAGGACTTTTGCCCCCTTACCGTCCTTTCTGTCTCGTGGCGCTCCTGGCACCGTGCCCCTGGCCTCCGAGCTCTGCGCCCCCTCGGGGTCGGCACCGGCGACCTGCGAGCAGCGCCATCACCAGCACCGACGACGACGACGACGACGACGACGACGACGACGACGACGACGACGACGACGACGACGACGACGACGAAAAAACGACGGATGCGATGCCGGCCACGCGCGCCTGGCGGCGCACTGGACAATGGCACGTCAGTCCGTCATTCCGCAGAGCCCCTACGTCGGTCTCCGACGGGTTGCGCCCGAGATCGGTATCCCCTCTAGCTTCGGGACGGTCATCTGCCTCGTCGCCCTCCGTTCGGCGGCGAGCCCGGGGGGAAAGGAGAAGGGGCGGGCCTTCTCCGAAGGCTCGGGAGTCCCCCAGCCTTTGGGAAGTTTTCTGAGCCTTCCCCGAAGACACAACAAAACCTTCTCAGAAGGCGCGATGGCTTCTGAGAAGCCCTGGCGCCTTCTGAGAAGGCTTTCTCCGTCTCACTTCCCCCCCCTCGCCCGCCGCCGACTTGCAGAAGATTTTGGGGAAGACTCAGAAAACTTTTCATAAGGCCGGGGGGACTTCCGAGCCTTCAGAGAAGGCCCGCCCCTTTCTCTTCCCCCCCTCGGGCTCGCCTCCGAGTCCAGGGAGGGAGGTGGAAGCTTTCACCACCGTCGGCGCCTGCAAGAGGAACACTGACCTTCTTCCCCAGCTCTTTAAGCGCAGGCCTCCCAGAAGCTCCCCGTTGGAGGCCGCCTCGCGGAGGTGCTTCGCCATGACCCGCCCTTTGTCGGAATGCGGCAACAGTCGCGCGCAGCGATGATTTTTCGTTAGCTCGGGCAGCACTTTGGGTGACACTGCCTGTACCCTCGCTTCCTTAGCGGGTTCGAGCCTCACGCCGATGGATGAATGCATGTGCTCATCTGGCTCTGGTGCCGAGACAGATACAACAGATACAAGTCCACCTTCCAACCCCAACCAACCTACCATTCTAATTTACAGCACTGCTTTGAGGCCGTACCCGGGCATGTGAAAAGAATTGAGGGCTTTAACTCTCTGCAGCAGGTGTCTGTCCCCTAATCTCCAAGCGACTCCTACAGACGCCAACTCGGGGTGTAGAGACCGCCATGGTTTCACGGAGCGGTTGACTACACGCTGAATGCCGGCGCCCTGCCACTGGAAGCAGAATGGGAGCACGATGCGAGACAAGGGACGAAACTTAGGCATAGAAATGGTGGCCGGACATAGCGGAAGATGTTCAAAACGAATTCTGGGAATCAGCGCGAGATGAGAGGAGGTACGCGCCAGAAGCGTGCAAAATTTGGTCACTTCGGCATTGGCGTAATGTGATTCAGAACACAAGCGGCAAACTCTTCTAACGTGGGCGATCGGCCAAGCTGCATGAACGCTCGGTGGATGCATACTCCGATCGTTCAGTGGGAGCCACAATGAGGATCTCTTGATGTGGACCCTGTGGTCAAGGACCTGTGTGTCCTGCCAATGCGGGCCGCGGTAAAATACAACATCAAGCATCTGAACTTCGTTGTGAGCAATGCTCTCCACTTCAAGTTTAAACACCGTGGAGCGTTCCCGTAGAACGTGGATGCACTCATCCAGGCTCTCGCGGGAACCGGCGTGTATAAGCAAAATGTCATCACGGTACCGTACGTATGCGATTATACCGTGAGCAGCGCGAAACGCTGGGCAGGCAGCGGTGTCTCGTTCGACTTGATTGAAATAGGCAGCATCCGAAACCTCTCCGCTGCACTGGAGTCCCATCCCGGAGCCGACCAACACTTTCCAAACGACGTCAGGCCTGGTATCGCAACTGACGTATTGGCAATCCAAGATGGTAGACAAGAGTATTTTAAACGCAACCTTCGTCTCACCATCTAACAGTGCAGAGGCATGATACACAAGATCGGAATGGACACCGCTCATAAAATAGTCTTTGATGTCGATCTTGACTAAATGACAGCCTGCAGGGACGCGCACGGACGACATTATGTTCAAAAGATGTTGGGTGTCGCGTGCCAGGAATGGGATGGATCGCAATCCTGGCAACAACTGATCCGCAACCCATCGCATAGCAGGGGCCATGGGAGTGCGGCCACTGCAATGCAACAGGCGTAAATCTACTTTACCCGCAGGCTTGTGTGTCTTGATGGTTGCACCTACCTTAGAGCTGATATTGCTACAACTTTCCAAGCTCACATCGGACAGCATGGCTCGGGCCAGGGCGTCATCCTCTAAAACGCCACACGCTTCCTTCACACCGTCAACAAAATCGTATGTGACAGCGCGAGCAAACTCGAAACCCGCACGGTACTCTCGGTACGATGGCCCAGACAAAAGGCGAGTAAAGCAATCATGCAAATCAAGTTTCCGCAACAAACAGAAACCAGCGTCCTTGTCCGTAGGAAGAGCGCCTACGTCTCCTTTGCGAAGCAATGTAATGGCGAATTTGACAACAGCAGGCACATAATGCGAAGCACGCCTACTATGGACTAAACACGCTTTCCACACATCACGCTTCACAGCATCCAACATGCATTGTGCAGATAACGGGAGCTCTACAGGGCACTCGCGCGTGAACGGGCGCTTGGAAAGCAAATGCCTGTAACGATTATCCGCGGTCTCAACATTCGAAGAGAAGTGGTAACGCCAACGGAGCTTGTGTTCCCAATTCCACAAAGCAAAAGAAACTTGAGACAAATCAGGCCGACGCTGAAATGCAAACACGTGTATCCGGTGATACATGGTGAGCAAAAACCTTACTGGCCATGCGATGGCGCATTCGCTCGGTACCGACACAGAGCTTGACTCTGGATGGTACAAATAAACGGGCATAGCAGAACAGGAGAGGAGGGAGTAAAAATCAGGAGGGGGGAGGTCACGAGTAAGGCGAAGGAACATGGAAGCCAGCACGCTCTCACGGCTCCTCTCGCGCCTCCTCCCCATGAGTCGGCGACCAGCCTCCCAATTCAATACTCTCTCCAGTTTGCGCGCCCTCCGCGCGCTGCTTTGCCCTTTTTGCTCTTGCCAGCGTTCTTGCCGTTGGCTCCCTTGCCGGAGCCCTTGCCAGAGCTCCTTGTCGAAGCCTTGGACTGCTTGCCGGAGCCCTTGGTCGAGGCCTTGGACTTGCCCTTGCCGCCGGCCTTCTTGCCTTTCTCCTTGCCTTTGCCTCCTGGCTGCTTGCCTTTGCCTGAGCCCTTGCCCCCGCCCTTGCCGGGCGGGGACACGCCGTTTTTTGACGAGGCAGCGGCCACGGCATCCTCCCTCTGGACGGCGCCCGTGCCGCTCACCGCAGTCGAGAACAGCGAAGCGGCGTGTTGAGACAGCGCCGGGTGCGATCCAGGGCCTTTGCCAGCCCCGCGCACAGCCAGCCGGGAGTCGATGGCCATGTTGAACAGATCGACGGGCTTCGTGGCGACCATCTCTTGGACCAGTTTGTCCTTGCGGGCAGCCTCTTTGGCGCGTTCCTCTTTCATACGCGCCTTGGCGGCGGCAGCATGGGCGACCGTCTTGGTGTAGAGGACGTTCGCCTTGGCCTTTATCTGAACCTCGGACACGCCTGTGTCGATGAGGCCGGCCTGCGGATCGTCAGCACCGTCGAGGTCAAGATCCAAAGCCGCGATAGACTCAGTGACGTGCGAGGTGACAGAAGCAGCGCATTGCTGCACATAGCTGTCCTTCCGCGTCAAGCGGCGGAATTCTTCACGCTGCCGGGCCATGAACACCAAGTCAAGCTTTTTCTGGACAGTGAGGTGGTAGCTGTAGGCGGTCCTCTTCGCCTCGCGAACGGTCTTTCCACTCAAGTCCAATCTCATCTCAAGTTGTTCCACGCGCGCCGAGTCCAACAGCGGAGATTCATACGCCAAAGCAAATGGGCGGCAACCTGGAGGGAAGTGGCCCCCCTCCAGCTTGGCAATGTCAGCCTTCGTTGACTCTGTGCGCTCGTTGACCTTCTGCAGGCTGTCGATGTGGGCTTTCAGGTCATTAGTAGCTTTGCGGATTTTCTTGAGGACGTCCTGCGGGACGTAGCCCTTGAGCTCCGCATCCACAAGGGCCTTCGCTCGTGGAGGATGATGTTGATGCTCATGGTTTGTGTCTGTTCTCAACCCTCGGGCGGGTCCTCGGGGTTGTTGGGGTCCGTCAGCGCCGCGCCTGGCTCCCTGCCCCTCACCGCCGCAAACCACGAGAGGAGGTCATCTGTCAACGCTGGCGTTCCCGACGGTGCTGGCGATGCTGGCAAAGTGACAGTCGACGCTGCCAAAATTGCTGGCGAAGGAGGCGCCGTCGCTGGTGCCTGCTCGAAACACCACGGCGACCAATAGGACGGTGGCGCCGATGCCGCCGGAGGTGTTGCTGTCGCAGGTGCCGCTGTCGAAGGTGCTGCTGTCGGAGGCGTCACTGTCGAAGGTGCTGCTGTCGAATGTGTTTCTGTCGAAGCCGTTGCTGTCGAAGGTGCTGCCGTCGAAGATGCTGCGCCGACGAGATTAGCATATCGGTATCGTTTAACCAATCATCCCCATCCCCATCCCCATCCCCATCCCCATCCCCTTCGAGACCCCCACCAAACTACCACCCCAGTGGGGGATGCACCCCTCGAAGCCCGAAGGGAACGGGGGGGTAAATCGGCCAGTGGGGCCCAGGCCTCGCCGCTGGGGATAGGGATCGGTGAAACGATGCTCGGCATACTCGATGCCAATCGTCCTCTCCTTGCTCTGGAGGCGGCTCGCTCGCATCAGTGTGTGCTCTTCTGCCCCGAGCCGCTCCGCCTGCTGGGCGTCGGCGTGGGCGCGCCCGCCGGCGCGCTTGGCGTGCCTGTGCATTGCCCGCTCCCTGCTTTCAGTCGAGCCGGTCCCTCTACAGGAGGAGTGTTCAAACATAGTCCAGAAATCGTCAGGGGGCGATTTTTTTAAATATTTGTTTGGCTTTGTTGGTGCATGTTTGGGGTATGTTTTATTTTTCGTCCAAAATCGGCCTGTAGGGGGACATGCCCGACCTAATCCTTGCTCCTGGCTCCGATCTCGCCGAACGTGTTCTCCCTGCGGAGCTGCGGGAGCAGCGCGTGAGCGCCGATCGGCGGAGTCACGAAGGGCGGGTCCTGGCCCCAATCCGAGGGCTGCCTGTCCACGGGGCGCTCCACGGACGGCTCGTCCAAGCTCGGCTTGTCCACGGCTTGCCACGAGGCGTGAATGTTTTGTTCGATGACTTTCACGCGCTTTGTAGGGGGGCTGCTGCTCGCTGTCGTGCTGCTGTCCCCTGTGCTGCCGCTTATCGTGTTTTAGCATGGAGCGCTGTTCTCGCTTTTCCACGACGTGCGGCGGAGGTGGCGTCGTGGGTGACTTGGGCGCTTGGGGCGCCTTGGGCGCCGTGGGCAGTGATGACGCCTGCGCGGGCGGCGTCTTGGCGGATCGCTTGGAAGTGGGCTCCAATTGCGTCCACACTGGCCGCGCAACCACTGACGGCGGCATCGGCGCCAATTGGAATTGCGGCCCCACTGGTCTCGGTGCCGACGCATTCGACGCCGTTGCTGGCTGCGGGGCGGCCTCCACGATCATGCGTTCAGCGGACGGTTGGGCCTCCCCTGCGAGGTCCTCGAGGTTGCCGTCGGCGTCCCTTCCGAGCTCCGGCCGAGGAGGGGCCATGGAGCTCGGGCCCGCGGGACCCGCGAAGGGGACCTCAAGCTACTTTTTAAGGAAAAACAAGAGTGGCCACGGCGATGATGATGTTGATGATGATGATGATGATGATGAAGATGATGATGATGATGATGATGACGATGAGGAGGAGGACGAGGAGGAGGAGGACGAGGAGGAGGAGGAGGATGAGGATGAGGATGAGGATCAGGATGAGGACGAGGATGAGGATGAGGATGAGGATGATGATGATGATGATGATGATGATGATGATAATGGTGGTTGTGATGATGATGATGGTGGTGGTGGTGATGGTGGTGGTGATGGTGATGGTGATGGTAATGGTGATGGTGATGACGATGGTGATAATGATGGTGATGAGGATTGTGATCACGATGACGATGACGATGACGATAATGATGATGGTGAGGGTGAGGATGAGGATGAGGATGTTGATGATGGTGGTGGTGATGATGATGATGGTGGTGGTAATAGTGGTGGTGATGGTAATGGTGATGGTGATGGTAATGGTGATGGTGATAATGATGGTCATGATGATTCTGATCACGATGACGATGACGATGATGATGATGATGATGATGATGATGATGATGATGATGATTATGATGGTGATGATGATTATGATGACGATGCTGATGATGGTGATGATGATACTGACGATGACGATGACGATGATTATGACGATGATGACGACGCTGATTAGGATGACGATGATGAGGATGATGATGCTGATTCCGTTGATGATGACGATGATGATGATGATGACGATGACGATGACGATGACGATGACGATGATGATGATGATGATGGTGATGATGATGATGATGATGATGATGATGATGATGATGATGATGATGACGACGCTGTTGTTGATGATGCTGATGATGCTGATGCTGATGCTGATGATGATGCTTATGATGCTGTGGAAGGTTCTGATGACAATTTATTGAATCGCTTCGCTCATTCCGCCGGCCCGTGATATGGCATCGCTGGTTTTTGTCTGTGTGTTCGTTGCCCATGTTGCGCTCTTGGGGGCGGGTGTCGTTCGGACGCGTTGCGTGGGGAGTTTTGATGGTGAAGCAGTTCCCTGGGGGTCGTCTCTCGATGGGGCGAAATAGAGTCGTCGTCAAGATGCTTCTTTGGGGGGCCTCTTGGGGTCTGTTGAGAGGCCGTTCGGGGGCGCCTGGGAGACATGTTTGAAGCCTTCTGGGGCTTCTTTTGGGCCTCCTGGGAGTCTCCTGGGGCCTCTTGGCGACATCTTGGGGCCTCTTGGAGGCCTCTTGGGGCCTCTTTGGGACCTCCTGGGCGCCTTCTGGGACGGAGGGCTCCATTTTTGAGTTCTCGGTATCCCTCCTGAGTCCCTCTTGGGCCCGTCTTGGGGCCTCTTGGTCCGTCTTGGGCGGCACTTGGGCCGTCTTGAGGGCTCTCTTGGGTCGTTTCGGCGCCGTCTTGGGAGCTTCGTGGGCCGTCTTGGAGCGGTCTTGGGGGCCTCTTGGGCCGTCTTGGAGCGTCCGGAAGCCGAAAAAGCCAGAACACAAAAAACATCGAAAAAAACAATGAAAATCAACGATTTTGGCCTCTTGGGGCTCTCTTCGGAGGCCTCTTGGAAGGCTCTTGGGGCGTCTTGGAGGCCTCTTGGGCTGTCTTGGGGGCCTTTTGGGCCGTCTTGGGGTCATCTTCGGCGTCTTCGAGCGCTCTTTGGGCGTCTCGGGGGCCTCTTGGGCAGTCTTGGGGGCCTCTTGGGGCACTCTGAGCGCGCTCTGGGGAGCCTGAGAGGCCGCACCCAGAAGGAAAACCATCTCTGAGTAGACTTGGTCGGGCGGCGGTCGGGCGGCGGTCGGGCGGCGACCGGGCGTTGGTCGGGGTACTTTTCGCCGGGGGACCCCCAGGGGCCGCCCCGCGCGCGCGAACTAGAAATACTGTTAATACTGTTAACCAGTTACCAGAGATCTTAGCACGCCCTGGCCCGTTGGGCCGGCGAATTACGGGCGAATACGATCAACTTAGCTCAACCTCCTGAACATCATGAATGTGAGTAGAGCGCACTTCAGTTCAATATATATATAACTATAAGTATACACGTAGCTGTATAAGTAGATGGGCATGTCCCCTAGCCAACAACATATATGATACTACTTACCCCAAGTCAGCAGCATATCCAATACACAGAACAACATAGTAGATGATGTGTCTCCATCGTTCACGACATACTACACTCACTCAAAAGCACATGAACGATACGTGATGACTTGTCCTCCTGATCTGACTCAGCTATCTAGTGGTTCCTCCCCCCCTCCCGTCCTCCCTCCTTCTCTCCCCCACCCCCGCACCCCTCCCCCCCCTCCCTTCCTCCCTCCTGCTCTCCCCCGCCCTCGCCCCCGAAGGACGAGGGCGCGCCCTCCGAGAGCCCGCCACCTCCCCCCCCGCGCCGACGCCCCGCGCCGACGCCCCGCCCCGCCCCGCCCCGCCCCGCTGCTCTGCCCCGAGAGGAGCTGGCGACGCTGCTGGAGGCGTTCCCTCGGGGGG